TTTCTGTCGTAGATCTGGACCGTAATGAGGGCTGGTCAGCGACCTTTAAATTTAGGAAGGTTTTAACAGTAGAGTCAACAAGGTGCTTGGGATATTTCAGTTTAGAGAAAACAGACTTCAGTCGTTCGCACTCCTCAGTGAAGTAGGACCATGACGAAGACAGGCGATGTGCGCGATCGAGCATAGTTGTCAATAGGCCGCGCTTGTACCTATTATCGACACTAACTCAGTTCGCGCTAAAGTCTTTGTCTAACTTATGCAAATTAGTAACTCTGAACTCTTAGTTACTCTTGAAATTGATATTTAATTAGTTTCCCTTGACAATGGCGCCAAGATGTCGCCGAAACGTTGGATTTGTCTATTGTTAGTTTTTGCCTGTATATGTTTATCTAAATCATTGTTGATTAGCAGCCATTTGACTTTAAAAATATGCTCGGATATTTGTCCTTGGACACTGCTATTGGACCTTATCATCAGCATCATCATCAACATCATCAACATCATCATCATCATCTTTATTTAAAAACACGGTAAATACATCAGGCATAAACAATTTAATATATAAGCTTATATATAGATTTAGGCCAGCCTAAAAGCGTAGCTCCTGGGCCGGGTTGTTTAGAGCCAAATTAAGCGAACCCAGGAAAAGGTAAAATTTTGATTTGAGTTTTGTAACTTTGCGTTGAGGTTTTCTGTATATCGTTTGGCCTTCTGTTTGAGTTTTAATAATCACTATATATTCAAAACAAAGCAGCAAAAAATATTTGTATAGAAGAAAAAGTTACAATTCGGTTAACTTTTAATCCTGGGTTAGAGTTAAGCAGCTTCCGAACAATCCTTCTCTGTTTTCAACAAGTTAACCTGGGATGAGCCCGCGAGCCAATCGAAAAACCAGCACTTGGTCAGCGTTCAACTTTAAAAAACACAATCGCCCTCGATGAGCTGTAAACTTGAGTCCGCGATATGGTCACGTGATACTGGTCAGCGGATACCTTGTTTTGACAGGTGTCAATTGATCGTAACTTGGATGTTCAATATCAAAGAAGTACACGGTAAATCAAGGCTGCATGTCTCTGTCAACCTATTAGGGAGTTTAAGCAAATAACTACGGCTGTTGCTACTACGGCTGCCGTGACTGAAAAGGTCTGGGGAGNAATGAGGGCTGGTCAGCGACCTTTAAATTTAGGAAGGTTTTAACAGTGGAGTCAACAAGATGCTTGGGATGTTTCAGTTTAGAGAAAACAGACTTCAGTGGTTTGCACTCCTCAGTGAAGTAGGACCATGACGAAGACAGGCGATGTGCGCGATCGAGCATAGTTGTCAATAGGCCGCGCTTGTACCTATTATCGACATGACTGTGGTAATGGAGAAGCAGACCACTGTTTGTTGGCTTCATGAACACTTAAATTAGATGTTGAGGGTAAGCTGCCACCTTACTATCATCGATATGTTGACGACACACTCACCATGATGCCCGATTTGTCTACAGCCAGGGACTTTCTTGACACCCTCAACCACGCTCACCCCACCATCAAGTTCACTATGGAGGTCAAAAATGATGGAATACTTCCCTTTCTCGGTACTCAACTCCTAAACAGAGCGCCCCGTATAGAAACTAAAGTGTTCGTCTCTTTAATAGTCTCAAGGGATTTCACAGATCGTTCACTCTGCTGCTGTGCTAGACATTCACAAGGACTACATTGCAAAAATTCAATCTTCAATTTTTAAATTTATTTGGAAGGAAAAGCAGGACAAAATTAAAAGGGAAGTTCTATATCAAGATTATGAAAGAGGTGGTTTGCGTGTAACACACATTGAAACTTTGTGTAACGCCCTATGTTTGGCATGGATCCAAAGGTTCCTAAAAAGTGACAGCCAGGGGACAGAAAATTGGAAAGTCATCCCATGTTCCTTCTTTAAGAAATATGGGGGCTTATACTTCTTGCTTCACTGTAACTTTGATGAAAATTTCCTAAAGTCGATTGGAATGCCATCTTTCTACAAGCAAATTCTGAGTTTCTTTTTGGAACTGTAGAGTATGTATGACACGAACGGAGAACCGGAATTAACACTTTTTAACAACAAAGAAATACAAATAGGTGGTAAAACCGTGTTTTATCAGAATTGGTTTGACCAAGGAGTCTACTCCATTTGTGACATTCTTGATTCCAAGTCCAATTTTCTCACCTATTTTCAAATTCTGTCGGCTATCCCTAAACAACTGCTGGAAAAGGCAAGGGACTCTTTTGGCACCAATCCAATTTTTACTCCAGGGAATTCCACTTTTCATCTGTCACTGTCGCTGTTGATCAACCTATCTAAATTTACATGTAAAGATTACTACTGGCTTTTGTTGAACAGGAAGGAACCTTGCGCAACTGGCCCTAGCAAGTGGCAATGTGACCTTCCACAGTTCACTCTCTCTTGGAGCACAATTTTTAAGCAGATAAAGTCAATCAGTAAGCAAAATAAATTAAAAGAATTTTTTTACAAACTCGCTCATCGCATTCTCACCACAAAGAAAGAATTACATTTACACGTGTATACGGAATTGAAACAACAAGAGTTGTCATTACTGCGGGGATGACAATTCTTTACTTCACTCCTTAGGTTGTCATATTGCAGTCGACTTTCTCCGGAAAGTGCTATGCTGGTTTAATGAAAAGGAAAACTCT